GGACAGAGGACTGTTGGAGAAAAGACCATTAAGAAACCAGATTCCCTCTAGGGGGAATTCTGTGGAATTACAATGGCTGTGGGTGGAAAGATACTGAGAGAAATTGAAAGGATGTTTTCACTGGTGGGAACCTTACAGGAGCAGACTACAGCTATGAGTAAACAATTGATGACCTTGAATTTGGAAACAAGTAGTTCTGCTGAATGTAATGAGGACCTGAGTGAGAAAGAACCCACAGCTGAATCCGAAATAATAAACAAAGAAGAGGAGAAGACAAAACAAGAAAGAGAACAAGTTATGTGGGAAAATACTAACCAGAAGCCGACATCTGGAGAACACAAGCAAGGAGACTATTGGATTAAATCTATTTTAAGCTTACGAAAGATACAGAAGATGAAAGTGGAGGCCCTCGGAGTTTATGGAATTCAGGAACTAGAAATAAAGAAGTACAATTGGGGTCTCCACATAGACTTTGATTTTGACTATCACCGAGACTCAGGCCTTGTGGAAACTCATCAGCAGATGTCTCTAAACATGGGAAGAAACTATGGACGGATTGGATTGATGGTTAAGGGAATCTTTCGAGACTCCAGGACCGACAAAAAGGATTACCAACAAAACCGGCGGAGAGGGACTGAAAGAGATTTGAGAGCCTTGGATGTGCGGAATCCAGGCTAAAAACTGTTATTTTGAACATGTCTTGGGAAAGGACGCAAAGCGGGGGCGGGAGGGAGGGAAGTATTTAAATTTAAACAACACTCAAGATCAGGGGGTTTAGTTAATAAGAAAAGTATTCAAGAAAAAATGAGAAATCGAGGGAAGAGAATTGGGGTCCAACTTAGGGAAAATTTATTTTTGCTTTTATAAAAGGATTAATATTAAGACGGAAAAGGAAATGCTAACTTGCTGACATAAATTTGGGAATAGGGATGCAAAGGAGGGGGTGGGGGGAAGTCAAGGACTAGGGTTAGAAAATAAGATTTTTGGGAACTATACGTGTTTGTTGTTTTGTATGTTTGTTTTGGTGTTATGTGTTTTGTTTTTGTCTATATAAAATGTGAAAACCCAATAAAAATATTTAAAAAAAAAAAAAAAGAATTAGGAGATAGAAAGTCAGTGCCGGATTTACGTACAAGCTAAACAAGCTATAGCTTAGGGCCCCACTCTCTTGGGGGCTCCAAAAAAAATTAAAGGAAAAAAGCCTGGATGTACATTTCCAAAATATAAGATAAAAAAACTAATAAAATGGCTTTAGATAAAAACTAATAAAATGGCTTTAGGTTTTCCCAGTAGTGATGTATGCAAGTGAGAGCTGGACCACAAAGAAGGCTGATCGCTGAACAATTGATGCTTTTGAATTATGGTGCTGGAGGAGACTCTTGAGAGTCCCATGGACTGCAAGAAGATCAAACCTCTCCATTCTTAAGGAAATCAGCCCTGAGTGCTCACTGGAAGGACAGATTGTGAAGCTGAGGCTCCAATACCTTGGCCATCTCATGAGAAGAGAAGACTCCCTGGAAAAGACCCTGATGTTGGGAAAGATTGAGGGCACAAGGAGAAGGGGACGACAGAGGACGAGATGGCTGGACAGTGTTCTCGAAGCTCCCAGCATGAGTTTGACCAAACTGCAGGAGGCAGTGGAAGACAGGAGTGCCTGGTGTGCTCTGGTCCATGGGGTCACGAAGAGTCGGACACGACTAAATGACTAAACAACAACAAGAAGATCCATAAATTACTATATTGCATATATTCAACACAAAAAACAGCGACAATTTGTTGTTGACAAAGGACAGCTGGACATATAAAGGGCCCCATTACCTTCAGTAGCTTAGGGCCTCATCAAACCTAAATCCGGCCCTGTAGAAAGGTCTAGTAAAGACAAAACCTGCTTTTGTGTCTGATTATGAAGGCATGGAATTTACGCATCTCTTTCTTTGCTTATTTAACTCAGGGGCCTAGTCATTCCGTTGCAATTTGGAACCCTGGGAATGGAGATATTCCAACAGGTAATCATTCAGACACATCCTGTTCTTGATCTTCTGAAGTGCAGGGTTTCCTCTGCAACGACATCAAATCTATGGAAACATTTGAGCTATGTAAATACTCCTAGAAGTTGCAGTTAGATTTCACCCTGTTCTTTCATCATGAGAAAATTTCCAAAATGTCTGATGGGATTTTAATTTCTTGAATTTCTAAAGGTTAACCTTCTAACTTGAAATAATTTGACCTAGTAGAATAAAGCTCTGGACAATTATACACACAAACGAAAACAATGCAGCTGCTTTATGACTTTATTAGCACACATTACAAGGTCCCTGTCAGAATTAGAGCTCTGTCTCATTCTCCCTTTTGAAGCAAGCACACTTGAAAATGTCAGGCACTCCCAACTATAGCAGCTTGCAGTGCTTATATATCTCAATGGAAAGTTTTGATAAATGAGGCCATAAAATTAGGTGTTGAAAGGTCATATGGTTTGACCATCAGTGTATCTAAGCAGTAGTCACATTGTTCACTTCAATGTAAAGTTGCTACTGTTTGATTTTCTTCCCCCACCCGCCTGCCGCCCCACTTTTTTAAAAAAAGAAAACGCCAATCATTTTGTATGCCAGAATGGAAAGGAAGGTCTCTGGAGTTCTGTCTTGATGTTCCTGTCTGCAGCACAACTGCATTCCTTAATGAATGCTCAGGGCTCTATTTCTAATTTTGGAATTGAGTAAAATGAATTTGCTGCAATTCTCAATCACTGGGGAATAATCTTAATGTACTTCCCCCTACTGTTTATGTCTTTATGCAAACAGTGTCTCCTTAACAATGCCCATTGCAGCTAATTTGCAACTACAGATCTCAAAAATATTGTCTTCTAAAGTTTTAATAGAGCCCCATGCAACTTAATTATCCATTATTGGCAGCTTCTCTCCTGGGGTGATTAGTTGGATGAAGCTAGTGAACTTTGAAACTGCAAAATCTCAGATGAAAAGATGATTAGTTTATTTAGCAAGAGACTGGGATAGGAGGGAATGATGGGACTCCCTCGACTCATCTTTTATCAACTTGTTTTCTCTATGGCAGGCTATTTCTTTGCATGGAAGAATCTCATTTAAAGTTTTGTTGGAGAGTTCTCCCTAACTGGAAAAGTCCCTGTGTAAAGTTCACATGAATATGAATGAAAAATGAATTCATCCATTCATCAGTGTACTTTTCAGATTTTAGTTTCTTCTTCTTAATAGGTCTCCTGATGTTACCGAAATCCATTCCGGGCACTCTGCAAGGCTGCCCATTTCCTCTCAAGTTCCTGCCAGCCGAAGTGGTTTATCATGTTTTGATTCCCAAAAGGAAAAAAGGATAATTGAAAATCAATGTGGAGTCACATCAGGGACATTTTTTTGACATTATGATACTCTAGTTCTCTATTTACATGCAAAAGACAGATGGCGATAATAGATTGCTATGTCCCAAGAAAGTTAAGGCCTTGTGAGATTAGACCACAGAATATGGTGATATATTAAAATAAATGAAACAGAGTGGTCATTGAGATTAGCGGTCTAAAATCTTGCACCTTGTCCAGACAAACAGTACAATCCAACACATGCCTACTCAAAGCAACACCCTCAGAATTCAAACAGACTTACTCCCAAGTAAGTCTGCATTAACTTTAAAGCCTAAGTATGGCTAACTAACTGGTTCTTATATATATACATATATATTTAAGTACCAGTATTGCTTTCCAATATTGGGTCTGGTGACTTCTGTTTCAGTGTATCTGAAGAAGTGTGCATGCACACAAAAGCTCGTACCAATAACTAACTGAGTTGGTCTCTAAGGTGCTACTGGAAGAATTTATTTTATCTTATTTTATTTTGTTTCAATATTTAAACGTTTACTCAGAAGTGCCACTTAGGCCAATGGTACAGTTGTAGCCTTAGGTAGCCTTAAATCTCTCTCTCTCTCTCTCTCTCTCTCTTCCCTTTTTTGGCCTCAGTGGGACAATTCTGCAGAGCAGCATACATGGCTTTCCACCACCAACTATCGGTTTTACCGTAACCCTGTGAGGTGGGCTAGGTGCACGGTCTTGTTTTAGTGCCTTCTGGGCATTCTATTTTTAAAGCACATTTTAGTCCCTGATCCTCGTTTTTCCTCGTATGGAGCATCTTAGCATTCACCTTTTTTTTACAGAGTACTGAATGTCAAGTGTGGCCCACGGTGCCTAGCGTTCAGGATTCCCTTTGAGAAGGAGCGCCGAAGACACGCGCCTGGGAGTGTTCCGCGCTCCGACGCGCCTCTGCGCACGGGAAACGGCATTGGTTGACCCGTTTGATCGCGCTTGCGACGAGGACAGCAAGTCTGAGCCCACCGCCGCTCCGATGCTACTGGAACGGCTTGCCGGCTTCCTTACGGAGCTCGGGGAAGCCGCCGTCTTACGTACATTAAGCACCATTGAACCCAGAGCGATCAGTTAGTTGCAAGTAAACAGCGGTTGCAAGTCAAAAGATTGGGTTGCATAAGGCTGATTTGCACAGGCCTCGTTCCTTCTCCGTTGGGCTCCGTCAGAGGACAGAATCATCCTGCTGGTCGGACAACGGGAAGCGCATCAGCGGCAGATTAATAAGGTTTCCAGATATTGTATTTTTTAAAAATAAACAATTTCTGTAATGCTCCGCCCGCCCCCCGAAGATCTGGTGGTTCCAGTAGGTCTTCCGAAGTGGTCGTGGCCCCAGATAAGGGAGCCTTATCTTATTGTTCACGCCTACTTTTGTGCATATTGACTACTCGCAAGCAAGCCCATTGAGTTCAATGAGGGGGGCGTAAATGCGCATCGGGATATTTGCAATCGTGCAAACGCGTCAGAGACATCTAGGGCGCAATGCTGCCCACGCTGACTTTTCCAAGGGGTTTACTTCCGCGTAGACATGTAACTGTGTACTGCTACTCGCCGATGATAAACTACAAGCCCCATAAATCAGAGCGGCACAGCAGGGACGTAATTTTCGCGCCTGCGTAGTTAAGGGCTGGAGGCGCGGTGGGACCAGAGGTTCCGTCCTTTCCGTTGCTCAATGAAACCTTCCTAATGGAGCGCCGGAGCTTTTGATGGTGCTGCGCAAGCGCTGTGGCTGGAGCTGGCACGATGGAGCATCCGCGGCTACAAGTTGCAAGCCTGTTTCTGTTTGTTCTGTGCTGGGGGAAGAGCTCGGCTGGTGAGTCTGGAGTAAATGCCACCGGGATCCTGCTTTGCAGGGGGGTCGCCCCCCCCGTTGGCATGTGCGCAGCCCCGGCGCGCCGCTTTCTTGTCCTTGCTTCTCGTTGTTACAGCTTTGTTAACAGTAGGCTGCAGTGTGTGTGTGTGTGTGTGTGTGTGTGTGTGAGAGAGAGAGAGAGAGAGAGAGAGAGAGAGAGAGAGAGACCTATAAACACCGGCGTAGAAGGGTCTTGCAATCTTGGATCGTCGCCTCCGGTCCCGGTTCTGGCCACATGGAGCGATGCGTGCCCAAAGGCAAAACTGATACTTCCTAAGTGGCTCCCTTCTCTTTGTCCCGCAGAAATTCTAAAGTCTCCGAGAACTTCCCTGCTTAACTGCTCAAGAAGTGCTTCTGCGGCTGCTGGTGGGGGCAGTACAGTACTGCTCAGCAAACAGGAACTGATTTACCCAACTTAAAATATTAAGAGTGTGTGTGTGTGTGTTAGAGAGAGAGAGAGAGAGAGAGAGGGAGGTAGGGAAGGAAGGAAGGAAGGAAGGCCCTGATGAAACTCATACCCTTAAACACATGGGGGTCGTCTTTGTCTTGGAACTTGTGTCCCCACCCCCCTCCTGCCAGAGTAATGGCAAAGTGGACCTGCAGGCAAAATGAAATGAGTGTCCCAATTTTAGACACTCTTGGAGTGCACTGTTTTCTTCAAACATTTGGGGGTAAGGATAAAGTTGCTCTTGCATCATTAAAATGTCAAAACTTGTGACATCTTACACAGTCCACTTCTGCTGGTGATAGCAGACTCTTTGTGGGGCTTGGCATTCTCTTCCAAAGCTCCAACCCATGCATCTCAGTCAGGCAATCTGGTCTAGAAATGGAAGGATGTGCATGGATTGAACAGCAGCATTATTATTATTTAAAAAAACTTCACTTGGTGTAATTGTACTAACTCAAACAGGCAAAACAATTTTAATGCCTGCCTGCCTTTAATTTCCTGTGGTGCAATTCTGTGCATGCTAATTCAGAAATAAGTCCCCACACCATGTTCAGTGGGCTTGCTTGGGTAAGTCAGTGTGTCTTAGGACTTATTTATATATTGAATTTATAACCTGCTCTTCCTTCCAAAGGAGCCCAGGCCAGTAAACAACAAGAGCTAAATCAATAAAAAATCCGAAAAACAATTTCAGTGCCAGCGCAGATTGGGCGAAATCTCAACCTAAAAGGCTCGTTGACAGAGGAAGGTCCTTGGTAGGCACTGAAAAGACAAGGAAGCAGCACCTGACTGATATTCAAGGATTGTAACTTTTTTATGTTGCTGAAGCTGGGTTTCTGGATTTAAAGCAGCTTTCTTGTAAGACAGGCTACTCTTTCATCACTAGATTAGGTCTCAGAAACAAGCCTGCCACTACACCAGTCTCATGTGGAAATGTGATAACAGAAAGCTGCAAAACCAAGACCCTCAACCTCCCACATCGTTGCTGGTCTGAAGGTCCATGAGGTTACCACCATGCTGAAGCTAAACAGATCTAGGCCTGGTTAGTGCCTGGATGGGTGGCCTCCTGGGAGCAACATGCGGGAACCTTCAGTTCCACGACAGAAGAAAGGCTGGAAGGAAATAGAATTAAATAAATATACAATAAAATCCTTCCCTTCCTCCAAAGAGTTCAGGGCAGTATAAATTAATGATACAAGAAAGTTGACCAATACTCATTACTGAGAAATGCAACTCTTTGAGAAGGGATTCAGCAAGGAAATACCATTATACATTCAGGGGAGTGTTGAGAAGTTCTGGAGGGCAAATAAATGGTGGGGGAATTTGGTCAGGTCCCCCCACAAGGGGTTCACAGCACTTTCCTTGAAGGTGCTGTGGTTAAGTCACTGAGCAGGAGGCTGGATCCAGATTCATTCTCGACACACAGGACAAAGCCTTGGCCAATCTTGGCACCTTTATCCTGTGTGGGTGGGCAGTGGGACCTCTTGATGATTGTGTCAGATTGGCCAGAATTTAACCCTCCTTTTGTATCTTTCAGATACAAAATGGAGCAAATTCCTGGTTCAGATAGACAGAGCTGTGGAGAACTACAAACCATGTATGCAGGCAAACTGCAGCTGTCATCAAAGGTAAGGGGCCAGCATCTCTCACAATCCAATTAATACTTACAGTGTGATATAACTCACCAACTCTAGGTTGAAGGTGTTACCCTAACTATGCTGAATTATAAGCACCTCATGTTATTGGGGATCATTTGCAACAACCTCGTTATTGGGAAGCAGATGATGTGTGCCAAATCAGACCTGACACCATTTACACAGTTAATAATTGTCACGGTTTCTTTTAAAGAATAAATAGCATGGGTGGTGCCCTGCTTGAGATTGAGAATTGATTCGTGGGTTAATCCATCTCAGGTCCCAGTCTGGATTAGCACCTGCCACTGGCTTTTAACAATTTTTGCACATGCAATTCGTTCACACAGTTGCTAACTGCATGGCATGTCTAGTTGAAACTTGTGCTGTCTTGAAATAGTAATATTTAACATTGTAACCACCACCACCTGTTTATGAATCGCTTGTTACAGATGACAGAGCCTCGCAGTGATAAAGCACTAAACACAACAGAATATCAGCTTGAAATATAGCACCTTAAAATGTCAATCCACAATCAATCGGATGAAGGATGGTATAGGAGTTTAATAAATAACAACTATAACACAGAAAAATCCCCCCCAACACAGAATTGAATTAATATTCCTATATTAATTCCTATATTTAATATTTAATGACACAAGGTCATTAAAAAATAGGTTCTGATTATTTGTGTGTATCTATTGACCAAAAGTAGAGAGGAAATATAGCGTCTTTGTTGGAAATATAGTAATATTGTTACTCATAGAATCATAGAATCATAGAATCATAGAGTTGGAAGAGACCACAAGGGCCATCGAGTCCAACCCCCTGCCAAGCAGGAAACACCATCAGAGCACTCCTGACATATGGTTGTCAAGCCTCTGCTTAAAGACCTCCAAAGAAGGAGACTCCACCACACTCCTTGGCAGCAAATTCCACTGTCGAACAGCTCTTACTGTCAGGAAGTTCTTCCTAATGTTTAGGTGGAATCTTCTTTCTTGTAGTTTGGATCCATTGCTCCGTGTCCGCTTCTCTGGAGCAGCAGAAAACAGCCTTTCTCCCTCCTCTATGTGACATCCTTTTATATATTTGAACATGGCTATCATATCACCCCTTAACCTCCTCTTCTCCAGGCTAAACATGCCCAGCTCCCTTAGCCGTTCCTCATAAGGCATCATTTCCAGGCCTTTGACCATTTTGGTTGCCCTCCTCTGGACACGTTCCAGTTTGTCAGTGTCCTTCTTGAACTGTGGTGCCCAGAACTGGACACAGTACTCCAGGTGAGGTCTGAAGTACTGTGTCCAGTTGTGTCCATTGGGTGGACCCAATGGTGTTAATAGTTGAAAGTAGCTCCCTGTTTCAGCTCCTTCTCTCTCTGTGCAAGGCAGCAAGTTCAATATTCTACTAAAGTGATTGTATTGAACCATCCTATGCTAAAATCCCTTCCTGGAATGACTTAGCTGTTATACTAATTTTCCTTAATGTGTTTAATGATGGGTGGAATCTTTCTTCCCTTAGAGTTAGGGAACAGGACTTGGCTCCCTTCCGAGAGGGGATCTCCGAGGAGCTGCTGTCAGAAGCAATCAGTCGAAGGCTTGGGACGCACTACCAGATCATTGAGAAGAAGTTGTACCGTGAACATGATTGCATGTTCCCTGCAAGGTGAGAGCAATACGGAATGTATCAGAGAGAGAGAGAAACAGGAAAATCTCCCTAGCCTCCTTAACCTATGGGTCACTGAGCAGAAAACATTTGAAAGGGCTAAATTCCAGTGTAAGAGGAAGAAACTGATGAGGCATTGCTTTGCCTGAAATGTAGAAATTGCATTTGCTTTTGTGAGAAATCAATATTGACATGGCACTTTAGTTGTACGAGGGGGTGATGCGGGTTAGAAGCTGAAAGAAATCGGCAATAAATGCCTCTTGGGAGCAAGGATAATGGAAAGGGATAACTTGCTGAGTTGTCTAAAAACAGTTGTTTGGGTGTCAGAAGGAGCTTGTGTCTGCGCCCAGCTTGGTTTATAGTCATAGTAAAAAGCAAACAACACCAGCATTGCAATGTGTCCCTATTGCTTTCTTGTTTCATTTCAGTCCCTGGGCTTTTTGTGTGGTCATGCTGTTCCTATGGGTATAAAAGCCTTTCTCTGTCCTCTGCTTGGTGTTTCCCTTCAAGTCTATCTAGAGAGACCCCATTAGCCTTTTATCAATTGCCTTGCATTCAACCGACTCTTTCCTTCATCATCTCTGCTGCTTGTGTGGTGTGCCTTCATTCAAGTCTTGGTCTTCAAGACATGGACACTTTACCTTCAGTGTGGTGTAGTGGTTTGGGTGCTTGACTAGGGTTGGTGAGACCTATGTTCAAATCCTCACACAACAGCAAAACTCAACTAGAAGACATAACCTACCATACGGGGAGGATAAAAGTGCAGGTGAGGGAGGAGAACCTGTAGTTCTTGGGGGAAGGAGTAATACAAAAATGGGTGGGAGTCAACAAAGTTTTACACAGAGTAGGGCCATTGAAATTAAGGGGACAAACTTAGTCACATTCATTAATTTTAGTGGGTCTACTCTGAGTAACATGCAGTTGAACACTATCGGTGATAGAAAAATGCTGTACATATACTCTCATTAATCCTTACAGCATCCCTCCATATCCAGTTAGTATAGTTTTTCCTCTGTTGAATTGTGTGAAGCTCTATAAGTGCAAATGTGAGGCAGAGGAAGACTGCTGAAGGGGATAATGAGAGATGGGGAGTTTCTTGCTTGGGGCCACCTGGTAAGTTTGTGGGTGAGGCTCAAGCTCAGGACTTACTGACTCTTAACTCAAACACTTAACACTGGTGTATCCCTCCCATCTCATGCGGGTAGTTCTCTGAATCTTTTCAAGCTTATTTTCACAATATAACTGAGTTTAAGTTATACTGTAACTGTGTCCTTACAGTACAGAGTCCTAACATATGGACAAGTAATTCCATCAACATTGTCTATAAAATTTTCAAGGGTTCACCCTTAGGTAGCCAAAATGCCACTACCCATGCACAAGGAGGTGATATTGGCAGACATGGGGAAAACTGCTTTGAGGTTCCATTACAATAAATCAGTAGGGACATTTACTTCAATAAAAACTGAATAAAACTCGAATATTTGCATAAGTACAAATTTTGGCATCTGTCTGTTTCATGACACAATTGAAAGAGTGTGCCATCTGGGTTAAAGTCTACCTGTTGGAGAGTTACTGTAGAGACCAATACGGGAGAGACATGTTTCATTGCAGCTGGGGCAGATGAAGGCATCCAGTTATCCTGCTGCAGATGCAGCATGGCATTTCTTCTCTCTGCTCTTCTCCCAGCAGTCATTTCTCCTCTGGTCACTGCTGTGAATACATGACCTGACTCTCTGTCTTCAGGCACTAGTTGTCTGCAAGGGATTCCCACACAGCAGGGTTGATGATGTTGCCAGCCTCCACGCCACGTTTTCAGACATCTTTGTAACACAGAGTTGGTCTGTCAATGGGCCTGGTGCTTGAAGCCAGCTCCACAAAATACGTTAGTACGTGTTAGTTAGTGGCCATAGCACACTAACTATCTTTACAGGAGAAATCTGAAAACTGAGTAGGAAGGGAAATGAAAGGGAGGATGACCGATGAAGGCATGGCTGGGACTTCATTTTCTTACAGGTCTCACTTGGTATGAGTAATTCTCAAGGCCACCCCTTGCACGTATTGATATCCACAGGTGCAGTGGGGTTGAACACTTCATCCTTGAGATCATTAACAACCTCCCGGATATGGAGATGGTGATCAATGTGCGAGACTACCCCCAAGTGCCCAAGTGGATGAAACCAAAGATACCCATCTTCTCCTTCAGTAAGGTGAGAGAGAGAGTGGACAACTCCTTGGTCATACTTGGTGGGGACAGCTAAGACGCTTATTTGAATATCTTGCATCACGGAGATATTTTGCAGGAACTAATGTGCTTCTGCCTCTCTATTTTCTGAAAGACGTTGGAATACTATGATATTATGTACCCTGCTTGGACATTTTGGGAAGGCGGGCCAGCTGTTTGGCCAATTTATCCAACAGGCTTAGGACGTTGGGATCTAATGAGAGAGAGCCTCAAAAGGTATGTTTCTGGAGAGAAGGATGAAGCTTGTTTTGTGGAGCTTCACTCCGCAGTCTGAAGTGTGTTTCCTAAGAAATCAATCATACTTTGTAAGATGGAAGTATGCATGACATCAGAACTGGCAGTGATCCACAAGCTTTGTAAGTTGTGAGGCACATCTAAGCTAGCTGAGGCTGCGGCCCTATACCCACTTACCTGCGAGTAAGCTCCATCAAATCCAATGGGACTAACCTCTAAGTACACATGTATGGGATTGCACTGCTAATTTGGGGGGCTTTAAACAAGCCAAATTGGTGGAAATCCAAAGAGGAGTTAGCATATGGGGTAGCGATGACTTTGCAGACATCCAGCAGTAAGATGCAAGAGTTTTGGTATTTTTGTGAGTGTCTATTAAGGGGAACTTCAGCTTCTCTGTATAACAACTTGAACTTGCTAAGATACCCTCTTTTTCACAGCCTTTAATGGCATAGAGGCTGCCATCGTTGCTTTCTATAACATCCTGCGGTGATGGAAATAAATACATTGATTCCCAAATATGACACAAACTGACCAGTTTCTCTCCAGTGTCATCAATTTTAGATGTGAAAGAAGTGGCACATTAATCAAATGGTAAAATGCCTTGCTAGAATAATGGGTGATGCAACTAATAGCATGGAGCAGAGTTTGTTTAGTTGAGGTTACTTAACCTAAAACCAAAGAAGGGATTCAGAGAAATAGGATGGATTTCTTTGCTTCTCTTACTAAGGTGTTATATGTCCATGTTTTTAACATCATGTACTGATCAAACTCTCCTTAGCTCTGCAGAAAAATGGCCCTGGAAGAAGAAAATTTCGAAAGCCTATTTCCGAGGGTCCAGGTGGGTTAGCTCCGTTCCCACTTCCTAACACTGATATACTACCGATGATTTGTATAGTGATAAAACCAGGGCATTAACAAGACATGGGCTATGTACTGTGTTGCTCAGGAAGATTCAATGTTTACAAATGATATAAACAGGGCTCTGACACATTCTCAACAGGGGTTGATATTTTCAGTTCAGAACAGGGCGATTGTTACCTAGTAAAACAGCTGTTGTTGTTGTTGTTTAGTCGTTTAGTCGTGTCCGACTCTTCGTGACCCCATGGACCAGAGCACGCCAGGCACTCCTGTCTTCCACTGCCTCCTGCAGTTTGGTCAAACTTATGTTCATAGCTTCGAGAACACTGTCCAACCATCTCGTCCTTTGTCGTCCCCTTCTCCTTGTGCCCTCAACCTTTCCCAGCGTCAGGGTCTTTTCCAGGGAGTCACAAAACAGCTGTACTATGTACTAACATTCTCAATTGTTGATTGTCTTTCCTGCATTCGGGTAACTATTAGTGTGCAGCCACTGTTCCAAATATTTTACTCAAAACATACTCATAACAAAAGACCCCCAAATGATTTACATATACAAGATACAGAGCAGCTTAGGCTTTGCTGAGGTGGTGGAAATGCTAGTTTCCTCCACTTCTTGTTCATGTTCCTTCTCTGCTTTATTATATTCAAACAGAACTTTCATACTTTCTTGATGACAGGATGGCTTGTGGGTTTTTTGTGTGTGTTTGGATGCAGTAAAGAAGCAAAAATACATTCTAGATCGCCTGTATCTCAGGGGTGGAGAACCTGTGGCTTTCCAGATGTTGGACTAGAGTTCCCATCAGCCCCAATGAGCATGGTCAGTGGTCTGGATGATGGGAGTTGTAGTCCAGCAACATCTGGAGGGGTAAACATTCCTCACACCCGCTTATATCTGCAATGATGTGTTATGTATTCATCTAATTATTGATGGAGCTCAGCTTCCTACCATCGTTCCTGCGGCATATCAGTAAATTAGATAAGTTTGTCTTCCATGGAGAACATTGTTTAACAGATTTATGTGTGGTTTCACTGGTAGGACAAGTTCAGAGCGGGATCCCCTCATTCTTCTTTCTCGAGAAAATCCAGACCTTGTTGACGCAGAGTACACGAAGAACCAAGCCTGGAAATCCGAAAAAGTAATTACTCTTGAAGGCAGCTCTTTCCTTTCTCTTAGAAAAGGGGTGTTCTGTTGTTTCAAAGTCTGGCTTCAGCAGGAAGAGAGCCCCTGTTTTTCAGGACACATTCATAAGAGCACACACTGATATCCTGGAATAATGACCCCTCCGTGGTTCCATACTTGCCAACACTAGCACAGGTTAAGAACCTCACTTCAACAATAAATATGAATTGAAAGGAGGGGGGGAAATGTCTCCTGTTGACTACGTACTTGTTAGTTCTCCCGGGAGCCCAGTGTAAAAGTGCCATTGGATATGTGAAAAGGAAAGGAAAAACTTAACTTATTCGTAAGTAGTGTCATGTTTAAATTAGGTGCTGGGAACTACACTTATGGCAGTAAGACATTGGTGCATCATGCAGCCAGAGCCCTGGATTCATGTTTTTGATTTAATTATGAAGCCTAATGTCACACACTTGTTCTGGGAGAGTGCGCGAGGGAAGATACATTGTCTTAAGACACGGGTGGGGAATGCTTTCCAGACTGAGGGCCACATTCCCTTCTGGGCAGCTTTCAAGGGGCCACATGTTAGGGCCAAAGGAAAAAGTAGGCAAAGGAAGAAATGTGACTGGACTTGCTCCTGCACACCCTCGCAATGTCTTCCCTATCCTCCATCCATCCGTGGTGGGGGGGGGGAGCATTTTGAAAGTTCAAGGACATTCCAGGCAGGGAAAAGAACTCAAGGAGGGTGCAGAGGGAGGCTGGTGAGGGGTGGAGCTTGGGAAGTGGGTGTGTGGCTGAGGAGGAAGTGTGAAATCTTAAGGGGTGACTAATCTTAAGCATTGCCTTAATTTATTGGTTGTGCCCCAGGAGCAGGGTTGCCATACGTCTGAAATTCTGGACATAGCCAGAATACTGCAGTCAGAAGCAGCATCTGGGTAAAGCTCAACAACAACAACAATTTTATTATTTATACCCTGCCCTTCTGGCTGGGTTTCCCCAGCCACTCTGAGTGGCTTCCAGCACAACTTTTGTGTCCGGATTTTCACTTTTTAAAATATGGCAACCCTACCCAATAGGAATGTGTCAGATAGGCAAATTCTGATTCTTTTTTGGTTGAGCGTCCCATAGCTTGTTGGCTGATTTGATTTTCATTGAGATGCTTGGTTTGGCATTTACCTTATGACATAACTAATCATTCTCGTGCTCTGGTTTTATTTTGTGGCTTGCCAGTTGTGTCTCTCTGCCATCCTCTAGTTATGTTGTGACTGAGTGGCATGTTCTATAGGATGTAATTTGGAACTTCTCCACTTAAATATCTGTATTGCATTTCAAGGTGCAGAAGAGGAAATAACCAGGACTGTAGTGGAATTGTCACTTAGATGAAGGTGACGGTTTGCTGTGAACCTTAATGATCCAATGAGCTTGTAACTGACCTACCCACTGCTCTGCATTGTGAGGAAACATTATGCAGCTCCAGCCTCTTTGTAAGGAACATATGACAAGAGGACTTGACTGGCACTAAAATAAGTATGAAGGTTCAGATATACACATGACAAGAAAATGGATTAGGAGAAACCACTGCTTTTTGCAATCTTAAAAAAACAAAAATTTAATAGGTACCTTAAGCCTGTGCATGTTTACTTAGAAGTAAACCCAGGTGAGTTCAACAAGGCTTACTTCTAAGTAAACGTGTACAGGACTGCATCCTTAGAAATATTTGGACTATTACATTTTCTGTGATAGGTTCCAGGTTTATTTAGATTTCCTTAGGAACAGGGACTCTAATTTTGTGCCTTCTGAAAATAATTCTAACAGAGAAACTGTACTTGTGCTTATGGTGTTTCACTTTGGTTGTAGTCAGTAGGTAGATGATATATAACAACAATTTAAAATAAATATATATGTATATATTGTTCTTAAAGGACACTCTTGGGAAACCACCAGCTAAGGAAATTGCACTAACAGACCACTGTAAATACAAGTAAGTAACTCAGTCAGGCTGCAATTCTATACATAAATACGTCAGGAAAGTCCATTGAACATAATAGAATTTACTTCTGAGTAGACATGTGCAGGATTGAACTGTCCGTCTAGAATTTATTGGGACTGTTTTCATCTATCTATCTTGCTTTATGTTAAAATAGATACTGGAAAAGTCTTAAGACCATAAAGATGTTCAATTAACCATTAGTTGCAAGACAAGGCATTTGCTCCTATCTTCATGCTGCTGCTATTGGCACCTTTTGCCTTACCCTGAATTGTTTCACAAGCAGGAATATATGCATTCTGTTTGTGCCTTAGAGAATTGCTTGTCCGCTCCACCCTTATGAAAACTTTCTGTCACACAGTTGTGTTAGTTATTGTAATTTAAGGAAGGCATTCAAGGAATCCCAAAGAACCACTATATCTCCTGGGTGCTACTAAGGATAATAAGTAGCTGATATGATTATACTCTGTGGAATATCAGCAGCTCTTCTGGTAAAGCAAACCGAAGGCACTCTCATCTCCGGTCCCTTGAGTATCTCTGTGAGATATTTCAGTGCCACATGTAGATGATGATCCTGCAATACTAGTGTGTTAAATGACTTCCCTGAGGTCTTTTGGGAAGAGCAGAATGGTGCCTGGAATAGAAATTATGGATTCTGGCATGGAGGTTTTTTTAAGCAGAGTAACTTCTGCATTTGTGTTTTGATGCTGCATCCTGCCATCTCCCTGACTTTTAAGGACAAAAACTTTGGCAACTAATGTTCAGGCACTGTTGTGTTTTTATCTAAAGTATTTTTTAGATAAGTGTACTCTTGTAGACTATTTATTTATAGGAACTCACTATAAGGGCCAGGATTGAAACCAAAATGCAAACCAACACCATAGATCACTATTTCCCAAACTTGGGTCTCCAGCTTGTTTTTGGACTACAATTCCCATCATCTCTATCTAGCAGGACCAGTGGCCAGGGATGATGGGAATTGTAGTCTGAAAAACCACTTGGAAATCCAAATTTGGGAGGCACTGCCATAGATGGAGCAACTGTGGTTATGGAAGTTTAGATTTGCCGTATTTGTCTTTTGATACTCTGTGGCAAGCGTCAAATGTTCTTCCCATATGACCCTTCTGTAAAGCAATCAATGTAGTGCATAACCAAGTTGAGGAAGAAAAGCCATGCCCTTCTCATAGAACTATATGAAGGAGTCTTAACAGATCTTCGGAGATAGGCAGCTTACTGCCCTTCAGACATTGGACTACAATTCCCATCAACTCTGACCCCATTGGCCCCACTGGCTGTGGGTGATGGGAGTTGTAGTCCAACTATGTCTGGCAGGCACCTTGTTGGCTAACTTTGATCTAGTCCTGCTTGAACAATGATCATATCTTTATAGAGCGTGCAAGCATTTATTTAATTGTTGTAAATCATTCAAACAAGTTTAAATCTCTAGAAGAATAAAACTCACCAAAAGCTTAATATCCCAGTTTTGTTCAATGATTAAGTAAGTACATTGGTTGCTGGAGGAAAGGGAATATTATAAGATGGTGTCTGTTTTTATTATACAGATACCTCTTCAACTTCCGAGGTGTGGCTGCCAGTTTCCGCTTCAAACATCTCTTTTTGTGCAACTCGCTGGTGTTTCACGTTGGGGAAGACTGGCTGGAGTTCTTCTACCCTCAGCTGAAACCTTGGGTTCACTACATCCCAGTCAAATCAGATCTCTCTGATGTCAGGTGAGAAGTTGAAACTGAAGCTGGAGTGGCATAATAACCGCTCCTTGCGTACTGAGATACAGTGGTGCCCCGCAAGACGAATGCCTCGCAAGACGAAAAACTTGCTAGACGAAAGGGTTTTCCGTTTTTTGAGTCGTTCCGCAAGACAAATTTACCTATGGGCTTGCTTCGCAAGACGAAACGTCTTGCGAGTTTGTTTCCTTTTTCTTAAAGCCGCTAAGCCGTTAATAGCCGCTAAGCCGCTAAGAGCCGCTAATATCCGCTAAGCCGCTAATAGCCGTGCTTCGCAAGACGAAAAAACCGCAAAACGAAGAGACTCGCGGAACGGATTAATTTCGTCTTGCGAGGCACCACTGTACAAAACCTCAATGTACCGTGGGAGCTTCCAGACCAGCTGTTTGTTGAACATCCTTGCTGATACATTCACTTGGAGGTTATACAACTTTGCCCACTTTGTTTCAGGGAGCTGCTGCAGTTTGTGAGAGAAAATGACGAGGTAGCCCAAGAAATTTCAAAGAGGTAAGTTTTCCTTATATGTAACTTTTGTGTAGCTTCCATGAGGCAATTATTCCCACTGCAGAGCACCAGCTGTTGTGATGACTGGCAGAGGTCATAATAGCTTTTGAAAATAAAACTTGCAAAGGCTCAAGGGCAATGAAATTCAAAACCCTTTTAAACAGTCAGTGAAATTCCATCCCAAATTCCTTCCTTCAGTATTAGTGTGGTATCATGTTCAGATATGTCTCCTCCTAAGTCATACTTTGAGCTGACCTGTTGAAATCAGTGGACATGACTAACTTAAATTCAATGATCTCAGTGACTCTGACTTATGTATACAGGTCAACGCGCCCCAACAAAACCCTGTGTCAGGGAGAGGCAAACGGGGAAAGAGCTGAGGGGAGAAACCAGCACTTACAGAGAGCCGAAAGAGATAATTAGTAGTCTGTCATCTGACAGCGAAGAGGAGGCAGCGAGGGGGGAGGATGAGCCCGGAACTAGTCATTCTGTAAACAGAGGAAATCAGAGGCGTGGTTTCCGCAGACTTGCATGTTGGGCAAAAAAAAGTAAAAAGAAAACAGACATGGCATCTTTGCCGACTGGGTCGGACATGATTTGAAGCACTGGAGATGTTCTTTTGAACTTTGTAAATAAATCAAAGAGATTGTAACTGGCAGCGAGCCCGGAGTTTTTATCTATGCCTGCTTGGCAGCACACACCTCTTACACCCTGATTGGGTATGTGCTCTCATGCAATATACCTAACCTTCAAATAATTGTAAGGAATGTTCAGCATAAGGTTGGGCATTATTATGAGGGGAACAGAGGAGATCGTTTACTGTTTGTTGCTTTGGAAAAGAGGACCACTCCTGAAAGGGAAAGTTACTATGCGGATCAGTGGTTTTTAGTAGTTCTTAAATTAAAAAAGCATTGACTTTTTGATGTAAAGGAAGAATGCACTCCCAGTTCTTCTCCCTTTTAGCCGTGGATGGAAGTTTCAAGACATGAGTTGAACATTCCTGTGCCTGATGTTGATCCTGGGAAAGATTGGCATGGTTTGCCCACAAGGCCCTGGCAGGCCGGTCTCTGAGACCTGGAGGGCATAGTTAGTCCTGTGGGTCAAAGGTCTCCCACCACTGGGATCTTCAATATAATCAAAATGAAAATCCTGTGACACCTTAAACACACAGAAATGTGCTGAGGTTAAGATCTGGGGATTGAATGTACCTGCCAAATGTACAAAAGTTGCCCATGAAAGCTTATCCCACAAAATGTTAATCCTTACCATGTCTTATAATTCCTTGCATTTGCTGCAAGTGACTGGTTTGGTTTCTGTACTGTAGTTTCTCCCTACAAACATTACTGCTGTTCTCTTTAAAATCAAATTAACTATCATAACTTCATGCCCAAGGAAACCTGAGAGCTCTAGCTTAATGGAGCAGATAATTTTCTGTTAGCGATCCCTAGCCCTTCCCTCACAGCACTCCCGTTCCTTGAAGAGATGCACTGATCATTAAGCCAGTTTTCATCCTTAGTTCTTGAGGTATGAAAGCCACTAACTGTAGTCATCCTCTTTGCTTGTCTTTCTTGCCTCTAGAGGTCGCCAGTTCATCATGGACCACTTGCGAATGGAGGATATCTCTTGTTACTGGGAGAGACTTCTGACTGAATACTCCAAAACCCTAACTTACAAAGTTAAACGAAAGAGTCACTACAGTGAGATTTCATCCAGAAACTTGAAAACAGAACTGTAAAAATATTTTTAAATATTCAGGACCAAGACTTGTGGACACTGTGAAATCCAAAGAGCAGAACGGTTTTCTTCAAGCTTAGAGGAAAGAGTTATTGTTACTGTATTAAACTATTTTATCAAATCTGGAATTTTCTTTGATATCATGGAAAGTAGATTTTTCCAGAAGTGTTCAGCTATTTGGGAAGCCAAAGTTCCACTGAATTCTAGTATTCCTTTGTGGTGAAATCCTTTTGAAAAGGGAACTGATGTTCCATGATGTTTAACTGACTCACCATTTAACACCAGATTAATCCTATGGAGTGGGCTGTAGTTTCTTACTGGTGAGTGAATCATTTCATGAATCATCATGGATGCAACATTTAATAATGTGATCTGTGTAGCGTTTGGACAATAGTTCTTTGCAAACTTCGAGTCTTTATATATTGCCCTCTTGCAAAACATCAATGTGGTACACAGCAATATGAAAAACTTTTTAAAGCAATTCAAAATAATCATTAAAATGAATGATTACACAACCCTAATAAATAACAACAATAAATAATTTTATTATTTATACCCCGCCCATCTGGCTGGGTTTTCCCAGCCACTCTTGGCTGCTCCCAACAGAACACTAAAAACAGAATACAGTGGCACCTCTGGCTACAAACTTAATTCGTTCTGGAGGTCTGTTCTTAACCTGAAACTTCTTAACCTTAGGTACCACTTTAGCTAATGGGGCCTCTCACTGCCACCACGCGATTTCTGTTCTCATCCTGGGGCAAAGTTCTTAACCTGAGGTACTACTTCCAGGTTAGTGGAGTCTGTAACCCAAAGTGTTTGTAACCCGAGGTACCACTGTAAAACTTCAAACATTAAAAACTTCCCTAGGCTAGGCTGAGAAATGCTGACCAACCCAGCTTTATAGAGTTCATGACTGAGTGAGGCAAAGCTAGACAGTATGTGGGAGATCTATGGTCAGAAACTCTTACTCCCCTGCTTTTCTTATAACTAATTAACAGCCTGACGTAGCCCCTTTGAAGATTGGGGAAGTGATTCTAAAGACAGAGGTTTTACTCTTTTCCTGATCTGAACTACTTCCCCAAAGCTGCTATTAGCTAGAGAGAGAAAAGATCAGCACAGCTTTCTCCTTCACTCTTGTTTGTGAAAAGCCACCTTGCCACTTCTATTCAAGGACTTATTTCCATGTCGCTGCAAAATCTGGGGAGGAATGAGAAAGCTTGCAGTGCTATGGAGCAAATGGCAGCCCTGCAAAAGATGGTAGTTAAGCCATTCCACATCCACATGGAAATAGCTTGAGAAGTGCACAGCCAAGTTGTGTGTCCCATCCCTCACATCTCAAATATAGTCCGAGTTTCTGGCAAATGATCTCATAGTTCACTTTGCATAAATCAACAGTATGTGTTCAGCGGTAGTGTACTGGCAAATTCAGAAGTGCAGGGTCCCTTCATAATAGTGTGGTATAGTGGTTAAGAGTGCTGAACTAGTGCTGAGGAGACCTAGGTTCAAATCCTCAGCTATGAAGCTTACCTTTTTATTTAACTTTTTTTTAAAAAGTGTACCATCCTTCATCTGGAGATCTCAGGGTGGTTCACAATATAAAAATACAAAATACATAATAAAAACAAGAAAAAACCCACAAACCAATAATCGTCCCCCTCCCCACATCCTCCTATGAACACATTTAAAAGGGATATAAGATGTTAATCAGCCAAAGGCCTGATTGAAATGTTTTTGTCTGGCACCTACAGGTGTATAATGAAGGCGCCAGCAGAACCTCCCTAGGGAGAATATTCTACAAACAGAGCCACCTCCGAAAAGGCCCATTCCTGTGTTGCATAGCTGTCAACTTTTCCCTTTTCTTGCGAGGAATCCTATTCGGAATAAGGGAATTTCCCTTTAAAAAGGGGAAAAGTTGACAGCTATGCTGAGTTGCCGTGCTCTGAACCTTTCATGGAGGAGGCACACAAAGAACAGCCTTAGATGGTAATCACAGGATCTGGGTAGATTTATATGCAGAGAAGTAGTCCTTAAGGTGTTTTGGTCCTGGCCTTGGGCCTAATGTATTTCACAGGGCTGAAATAAATAGTCACAGCCATGTTCCTATACAACCGAAGAGTATACAGTATGTAATATACAATAATTACACAATAATCTTATACATGCTGCAGAAATAGTAACAGGTTTTTGATCCTCCGCACCCCTGGATCACTGCTATACAGGCCTGTACTCACTGGGAGGCGGTGAGAGAAAATTTCATATGCCACAGAATGCTATATTAATTATTGGTTGTGTCTCCTGAGTATGGCGTGTGTGTATTGTAGATATTGGAAACTGGTGCTGCATAGTATTCCTCATTACCTTCCTCACTGAGCTTATAGATGATGGGGAAGAAGAAAAAACAGCACGACACTAAAACAAATTTGCAGATGCTGTGTAAGGAAGAGGGACCAATACCAGACATGGAAGAATTAACTCAGGAAATCAAACTATGTGGCATTATTGTGCTGGATAAGAAATAGGAGGAAGAATGTTAAAAAATGAGACAAAACCCTAAATTTATCTTCAGTGAAGGGAATTAATCTGGTATGTTCTAAAACTCATCTTTAAATGATCTTTTGGATTAAAAAAAAACCTGTTTTGATGGCTGAATTAATACTGAAATTTGATTTTTTTAAAGCACCGTGACAACAAAGAACCTGGGCAACTGACAGATCATGCCCTACATGATATAATAAGCAATGAACTACTTGTATTTTGTTTCTGTCACAAATGTGTTTTGGGCTGGTGAGAAAGGTTATAAACTTAAGGATTTACTTTACTGCTCTGTTCCAATTATGTATTGCAATTTGCCCATTGGCTAGTTATATGTCGGGAAGCTCAGGCAGCAAGCTTTTCTTGTTTTCTTTTCCATTCCGGATAAGAGCATGAAAGATTGACTTCACTCAGTGATGAAAACTAAGGTAACTTTAAGTACAACTGCTGCTGACAGTGGGTATCACTGGACATGATGGAACTTATTTTTAATCAAAAGTGCATAGGCTTGCATCACATATTTACCCTTAGTACAGTTAAAAGAACCTTGCTTTAAGTTCCTCAACAGAATTTGGAGCAAGTTTGCACTGTAGTCTCCAGTAGCAGTGCTTTTTAAATATAGCTGGAAGCGTTAAATCTTACTAGCTTTGCCTTGATAGGCTTCGTCAGAAGGGAGGAATACATACAGCAGTGGACGTATATCGTTCCGCTTTTTTTTTTTTTTAAAAAAAAGCCAGAGCAAATAAGTCGTCTGCAAAAATAGACAGGGCTCTTGAGCCTCAACAGCCGTGCAAAAAAGGGAATTTCCGCTTGTCGTGCCCCAATATTAATATCTTGCCACCACGCTCTTTTTAAAACCCCAAATCCTTTCCACTCCATCGACAATAGGGGCAGGGGAGATGCAACAGAGTATGCACGGCGCTTCCTGCAAAGCAGCTGGTCAGGATTGCGCACGCGCAGTGGCGGGAATCCAACACCTCCCTCCCCCGAGCTCGCGCCGCCTCCCGCTTCGCATAACCCACTGGCCGGGGGTTGGTGGTGGGGGCGGCGGGTGGAACGGAAATGCTTTCCAGCCGGGGAGTTGCCTGCGCTGCGTCCTCCAAGGCGCCAGGGCGGCGCGCTCCTCCTTGGCCCACTTCCGGCACAGCTGAGTCCTCGAGGGAAGGTCCTGGGAAGCGGCTTCTGGGGGAGAGCGCTCGGCTGTTTGGCTATGGAGCCGCCGCTGGCGCCGCCGCAGGGGCCGGTCCGAGTCTCGGCTGCCTCTTCTCCCGCGCTGGCCGCGGGGCAGCCCAGGGCTTTGAGCAGGCCGGAGCCGCCGGGCTCGGGCTCGGGCTGGGAGCGGGTCCGGGAGCTCTTCCGGCGAGAGTAAGCCCGAGGGTTTTGTTTTGCAAGACTGCGAGGGTCGCCCGGGAAGCGGCAGGCGCCCCCGTCTCCTTGCAGCCAGGCGGGGCTGGCAATGGACGCAGAGGCAAAAGCCCTGCAGAAAGCCCACTCGCATGCCGAGTTGAGTTGTCTCGAGCCTCACACGGGCACTTCCAGCCTCTGTTGATAATGTGGCTTCATTTAATGCTGGCGTTGCATGGGGGGGGGGGGGGTTTCGGGATTTCTGAAACGTGAAGGGGGCTTTTTATGTCCTGAAGACTTGAGTTCTCATCGAAGCATTTTCTCCCGCAGCGAGCTAAATCGGTATCCTGAAGAAACGGTCAATATCATCAAAGCAACGTTTTGCGGGGGCATTGTCGGCATGGTCTATGGCGGGGTACCCGGTTTTATAAACGCCAAGAGACGGTACATTGAGCAGAGCCAAGGAGAGATTTTCCACAATCGCTTGGATGCTGCGGTACGGACAGATTCCTGGCGTGGTAGAGCACACATCAAATCAGTCTTCTCAATAAAGCCCTTACACAAATCTCCTTAAGTGAGCACACTAGGAGTGCTATGGACACTTGTCACTTGCACTTCAAAAAGTCAGGTGTGGCCATCGCCTATGCTATCTACCGTGGGTTATTCCGTTAAAGGAATCTGGCGGTCGTGTATTCCGTCCGATGCCTGCTTGGCGGGAGGCCATGGCACGACCCTCGGTGACATCAGGGGGTGAGCCTATAGTTGGATTGGCATCAACAGGCTCCACCTACTGTTGAATAAACCCACCTCCTATAGTCATCCAATGCCTAAGCCAATACCTTTTCACTGCTGTAATCAATAAAGTTGTGGCCTTTCCTTGCCCTGGTTGTAGAGCTTGGGAAGGGCAACCAAAACTATCAAGAAGCTGGGGCAACTCCTTCTTGAGAAATGTTATGGGCTTTTTAGTTTAGAGAAGGTGCAGGGCATGATAAAGGTGTGTACTTGGTATGGAAAAACTGATTACAGTAGATACAAGTTTTTCCCTTTTCGTATAATGCCAGAACCTGTGATCATCTGATGAAGCTGAATGCTGGAATATTTAGGACAAAAGGAAGTGCTCCTTCACACACCACATAGTTAAGGATGGTATTTGCTGCCAGAAGATGTAATAGTAGCTGCCAGGTTATGTGGTTTTACAAGGGGATTATTCATCAATAATAAAGTTGTCGATGGCTACTAGTCATGTT